TTTGGCTTGATGGCTTTGCGTTCTTGAGCGGCCTGGCGCCTTGCGCCGGTTGGTGTTTGGCTTGATGGCTTTGCGTTCTTGAGCGGCCTGGCGCCTTGCGCCGGTTGGTGTTTGGCTTGATGGCTTTGCGTTCTTGAGCGGCCTGGCGCCTTGCGCCGGTTGGTGTTTGGCTTGATGGCTTTGCGTTCTTGAGCGGCCTGGCGCCTTGCGCCGGTTGGTGTTTGGCTTGATGGCTTTGCGTTCTTGAGCGGCCTGGCGCCTTGCGCCGGTTGGTGTTTGGCTTGATGGCTTTGCGTTCTTGAGCGGCCTGGCGCCTTGCGCCGGTTGGTGTTTGGCTTGATGGCTTTGCGTTCTTGAGCGGCCTGGCGCCTTGCGCCGGTTGGTGTTTGGCTTGATGGCTTTGCGTTCTTGAGCGGCCTGGCGCCTTGCGCCGGTTGGTGTTTGGCTTGATGGCTTTGCGTTCTTGAGCGGCCTGGCGCCTTGCGCCGGTTGGTGTTTGGCTTGATGGCTTTGCGTTCTTGAGCGGCCTGGCGCCTTGCGCCGGTTGGTGTTTGGCTTGATGGCTTTGCGTTCTTGAGCGGCCTGGCGCCTTGCGCCGGTTGGTGTTTGGCTTGATGGCTTTGCGTTCTTGAGCGGCCTGGCGCCTTGCGCCGGTTGGTGTTTGGCTTGATGGCTTTGCGTTCTTGAGCGGCCTGGCGCCTTGCGCCGGTTGGTGTTTGGCTTGATGGCTTTGCGTTCTTGAGCGGCCTGGCGCCTTGCGCCGGTTGGTGTTTGGCTTGATGGCTTTGCGTTCTTGAGCGGCCTGGCGCCTTGCGCCGGTTGGTGTTTGGCTTGATGGCTTTGCGTTCTTGAGCGGCCTGGCGCCTTGCGCCGGTTGGTGTTTGGCTTGATGGCTTTGCGTTCTTGAGCGGCCTGGCGCCTTGCGCCGGTTGGTGTTTGGCTTGATGGCTTTGCGTTCTTGAGCGGCCTGGCGCCTTGCGCCGGTTGGTGTTTGGCTTGATGGCTTTGCGTTCTTGAGCGGCCTGGCGCCTTGCGCCGGTTGGTGTTTGGCTTGATGGCTTTGCGTTCTTGAGCGGCCTGGCGCCTTGCGCCGGTTGGTGTTTGGCTTGATGGCTTTGCGTTCTTGAGCGGCCTGGCGCCTTGCGCCGGTTGGTGTTTGGCTTGATGGCTTTGCGTTCTTGAGCGGCCTGGCGCCTTGCGCCGGTTGGTGTTTGGCTTGATGGCTTTGCGTTCTTGAGCGGCCTGGCGCCTTGCGCCGGTTGGTGTTTGGCTTGATGGCTTTGCGTTCTTGAGCGGCCTGGCGCCTTGCGCCGGTTGGTGTTTGGCTTGATGGCTTTGCGTTCTTGAGCGGCCTGGCGCCTTGCGCCGGTTGGTGTTTGGCTTGATGGCTTTGCGTTCTTGAGCGGCCTGGCGCCTTGCGCCGGTTGGTGTTTGGCTTGATGGCTTTGCGTTCTTGAGCGGCCTGGCGCCTTGCGCCGGTTGGTGTTTGGCTTGATGGCTTTGCGTTCTTGAGCGGCCTGGCGCCTTGCGCCGGTTGGTGTTTGGCTTGATGGCTTTGCGTTCTTGAGCGGCCTGGCGCCTTGCGCCGGTTGGTGTTTGGCTTGATGGCTTTGCGTTCTTGAGCGGCCTGGCGCCTTGCGCCGGTTGGTGTTTGGCTTGATGGCTTTGCGTTCTTGAGCGGCCTGGCGCCTTGCGCCGGTTGGTGTTTGGCTTGATGGCTTTGCGTTCTTGAGCGGCCTGGCGCCTTGCGCCGGTTGGTGTTTGGCTTGATGGCTTTGCGTTCTTGAGCGGCCTGGCGCCTTGCGCCGGTTGGTGTTTGGCTTGATGGCTTTGCGTTCTTGAGCGGCCTGGCGCCTTGCGCCGGTTGGTGTTTGGCTTGATGGCTTTGCGTTCTTGAGCGGCCTGGCGCCTTGCGCCGGTTGGTGTTTGGCTTGATGGCTTTGCGTTCTTGAGCGGCCTGGCGCCTTGCGCCGGTTGGTGTTTGGCTTGATGGCTTTGCGTTCTTGAGCGGCCTGGCGCCTTGCGCCGGTTGGTGTTTGGCTTGATGGCTTTGCGTTCTTGAGCGGCCTGGCGCCTTGCGCCGGTTGGTGTTTGGCTTGATGGCTTTGCGTTCTTGAGCGGCCTGGCGCCTTGCGCCGGTTGGTGTTTGGCTTGATGGCTTTGCGTTCTTGAGCGGCCTGGCGCCTTGCGCCGGTTGGTGTTTGGCTTGATGGCTTTGCGTTCTTGAGCGGCCTGGCGCCTTGCGCCGGTTGGTGTTTGGCTTGATGGCTTTGCGTTCTTGAGCGGCCTGGCGCCTTGCGCCGGTTGGTGTTTGGCTTGATGGCTTTGCGTTCTTGAGCGGCCTGGCGCCTTGCGCCGGTTGGTGTTTGGCTTGATGGCTTTGCGTTCTTGAGCGGCCTGGCGCCTTGCGCCGGTTGGTGTTTGGCTTGATGGCTTTGCGTTCTTGAGCGGCCTGGCGCCTTGCGCCGGTTGGTGTTTGGCTTGATGGCTTTGCGTTCTTGAGCGGCCTGGCGCCTTGCGCCGGTTGGTGTTTGGCTTGATGGCTTTGCGTTCTTGAGCGGCCTGGCGCCTTGCGCCGGTTGGTGTTTGGCTTGATGGCTTTGCGTTCTTGAGCGGCCTGGCGCCTTGCGCCGGTTGGTGTTTGGCTTGATGGCTTTGCGTTCTTGAGCGGCCTGGCGCCTTGCGCCGGTTGGTGTTTGGCTTGATGGCTTTGCGTTCTTGAGCGGCCTGGCGCCTTGCGCCGGTTGGTGTTTGGCTTGATGGCTTTGCGTTCTTGAGCGGCCTGGCGCCTTGCGCCGGTTGGTGTTTGGCTTGATGGCTTTGCGTTCTTGAGCGGCCTGGCGCCTTGCGCCGGTTGGTGTTTGGCTTGATGGCTTTGCGTTCTTGAGCGGCCTGGCGCCTTGCGCCGGTTGGTGTTTGGCTTGATGGCTTTGCGTTCTTGAGCGGCCTGGCGCCTTGCGCCGGTTGGTGTTTGGCTTGATGGCTTTGCGTTCTTGAGCGGCCTGGCGCCTTGCGCCGGTTGGTGTTTGGCTTGATGGCTTTGCGTTCTTGAGCGGCCTGGCGCCTTGCGCCGGTTGGTGTTTGGCTTGATGGCTTTGCGTTCTTGAGCGGCCTGGCGCCTTGCGCCGGTTGGTGTTTGGCTTGATGGCTTTGCGTTCTTGAGCGGCCTGGCGCCTTGCGCCGGTTGGTGTTTGGCTTGATGGCTTTGCGTTCTTGAGCGGCCTGGCGCCTTGCGCCGGTTGGTGTTTGGCTTGATGGCTTTGCGTTCTTGAGCGGCCTGGCGCCTTGCGCCGGTTGGTGTTTGGCTTGATGGCTTTGCGTTCTTGAGCGGCCTGGCGCCTTGCGCCGGTTGGTGTTTGGCTTGATGGCTTTGCGTTCTTGAGCGGCCTGGCGCCTTGCGCCGGTTGGTGTTTGGCTTGATGGCTTTGCGTTCTTGAGCGGCCTGGCGCCTTGCGCCGGTTGGTGTTTGGCTTGATGGCTTTGCGTTCTTGAGCGGCCTGGCGCCTTGCGCCGGTTGGTGTTTGGCTTGATGGCTTTGCGTTCTTGAGCGGCCTGGCGCCTTGCGCCGGTTGGTGTTTGGCTTGATGGCTTTGCGTTCTTGAGCGGCCTGGCGCCTTGCGCCGGTTGGTGTTTGGCTTGATGGCTTTGCGTTCTTGAGCGGCCTGGCGCCTTGCGCCGGTTGGTGTTTGGCTTGATGGCTTTGCGTTCTTGAGCGGCCTGGCGCCTTGCGCCGGTTGGTGTTTGGCTTGATGGCTTTGCGTTCTTGAGCGGCCTGGCGCCTTGCGCCGGTTGGTGTTTGGCTTGATGGCTTTGCGTTCTTGAGCGGCCTGGCGCCTTGCGCCGGTTGGTGTTTGGCTTGATGGCTTTGCGTTCTTGAGCGGCCTGGCGCCTTGCGCCGGTTGGTGTTTGGCTTGATGGCTTTGCGTTCTTGAGCGGCCTGGCGCCTTGCGCCGGTTGGTGTTTGGCTTGATGGCTTTGCGTTCTTGAGCGGCCTGGCGCCTTGCGCCGGTTGGTGTTTGGCTTGATGGCTTTGCGTTCTTGAGCGGCCTGGCGCCTTGCGCCGGTTGGTGTTTGGCTTGATGGCTTTGCGTTCTTGAGCGGCCTGGCGCCTTGCGCCGGTTGGTGTTTGGCTTGATGGCTTTGCGTTCTTGAGCGGCCTGGCGCCTTGCGCCGGTTGGTGTTTGGCTTGATGGCTTTGCGTTCTTGAGCGGCCTGGCGCCTTGCGCCGGTTGGTGTTTGGCTTGATGGCTTTGCGTTCTTGAGCGGCCTGGCGCCTTGCGCCGGTTGGTGTTTGGCTTGATGGCTTTGCGTTCTTGAGCGGCCTGGCGCCTTGCGCCGGTTGGTGTTTGGCTTGATGGCTTTGCGTTCTTGAGCGGCCTGGCGCCTTGCGCCGGTTGGTGTTTGGCTTGATGGCTTTGCGTTCTTGAGCGGCCTGGCGCCTTGCGCCGGTTGGTCCTCTTGCATGTTGCGCGTCCCCACACGTTGCGCCTACCCCCCTACCTGCCATGGAACCCCATCAACATGGCTATTTCTGTCGTCAGGGCTCTCTGTCTGATGCGATAAGAGTCTATCCGCGATGCCCTTTCTCAGGCGGGGAATACGACAACGGCTATCCGCCCAGAGGTTACACCCCGTACGGCGGCGGCGGCGGCGGCGGGAGCGGGGAGCAGCAGGCGCAGCCGTATGGACAGTACCCGCAGCAGCAGCAGTACGGACAGCAGCAGCAGCAGTATCCCATCCGCGGCTCTGGCGGCCAGCAACCTGGCGGGTGGGGGGACGGGGGCGGGGGCTACGGGGACATGGGGCGGGGGCATGGCGGGGGAATGCAGGGGCAGGCGGGCATGCGCGGAGCGGGGGGGTATGTGCCTGGGGCCAGGAGAGCGTACGGCAGCAACGAGTCTAGCCCGTCGGGATCAGGCACACTCCAGCCCGTTTACGGCAACCCTGCGCCCGGCGGCGGGGGAAGCGGCGGGCTTGCCCCCACTGGCACCCGCTTCTCCATGGACGGCGGAGCGGAAGGGCAGTGGGGGGCCGGCGGGGGCGGGGGCGGAGGTGGAGGTTCCGCGGGGGGCGCGCAGAAGAGCCCGGGCGGGCCGAATGACATCCAGCAGGCGGCGACGCTATCCGCGCTGGCGTGGTCGCAGGCGGCGAACAGCCAGGAGGGGCAGCGGTTGCAATCGGATTACATGGCGGAGTTTGACGCGTGGAAGCAGTCGAACCAGGCCGCCACGTACCAGCAGCAGCAGGACTTCATGTCGGACCTCCAGGCGCGCATGGCCAAGGCGCGCGCGGCGCTCGCGGGGCTGCAGCTCGGGGGGGATGGGGGAAGCGGAACGGGGTCGCCAGCGGGGGCTGGAGGGGGAGCGCCGGGGGCGGGGTCCGGGGAGATGCAGGCGCGGTTGATGTACCCTGCGCCCATCCCCGCGCCCATCCCGGACGGGCCTGCGACTGGCGTCAGTGGCGGGCAGAGCGCCAATGAGGTCAGACGCGTTTCATTTCCGCGGGAAATGGTGATGTGGGGAATGGTGACGCGGAGAAAGGGGACGGGGAATGATGGTAGGGTGAATGGTGATGCTGGGAGTGGTGATAAGCGGTAAAAAGTGGCTGATGCTCGTTGCATCCATCCCTGCGCCCATCCCTGCACTCGTCCCTGCGCCCATCCCTGCTCTCGTTCTACTTACCCTCCATCCACTTCACCTTTTCCCTTCCCTCTCCTCTCCCTTCTCCCTTACCCTCGTGCTTCCTCTCCTCCCCTCCTCCCCCATTCCGCCCCGCGGCCCCCACGCACTAACCCCACCGTTTCCTCGTTTCTCGTCCTTCCCTGCCTCCCCCTCTTCCCGCCCCTCCCCTCTCCCCTCCGCTCGCCTCACCCCGTCCCCACCCACACAATCGCACCTCCACCAGATCGACCTGCGGAGGGAGCTGGAGGTGATGCGGCAGCGGGCAGCAGAGGCGGAGCACGCGCGCCTGGAGGCGGAGCAGCGCGCCCAGCGCGCCCTCTCCGAGGCAGACCGCTCCCTCCGCGAAGTTGAAGCTCAGAACAAACGCCGGGAGCTGGAAACCGCTGTGCGCATCGAAATGGCCTCCCAGGAGGCCTCGCGGGCGATTGCTGCAGCCGAGGAGGCGAGGAAGCAGGCGGGGTTGGAGGCGCAAAAGACGGAAGTGGCGATGAAGCAGGCGGCGATGACCCGGGCGGCACTGGAGATGGAGTCGCAGAAGCGGGTGGCGGTGGAACTGAAGGCGAAGGGGGAGAGGGGGAGTCAGCGCATGGCGGCGAATTACAGGGACTACAGCTACGAGGACATTGTGGTGGGTGGGGTGGGAGTGTAGTGCGTGGATTGTGGTGGGAGGGAGCACGAGTGCGTTGGGGTGTGGTGTGGTGTGTTGCGGTGCATGGCGGCGAATTACAGGGACTACAGTTATGAGGACATTGTGGTGGGTGGGGTGTGAGTTTACTGTGGGGTCTGTGGTGGGTGGGGTGTGAGTTTACTGTGGGGTCTGTGGTGGGTGGGGTGTGAGTGAAGTGTGTGGATTGGGGTGGGTGGGCTATGACTGTAGTGTGGGGATTGTGGTGAGAGGGGTTACAGGTGCGTTGTAATGTGGTGTGGTGTGGTGTGATGTGTTACAGGGATTACCCTGCCCCACCCTGCCCCAATCCCCCTCGGTTTGCAACGGAGAACTTGAAGCCGGAGTGCAAGCTGGGAGAGGGCAGGTTTGGCACGGTGTGAACCCCTGAGGGCTCAACATCATGCTGAAACTCCCCTTCTTCCCCCCCTTCCCCTCCTCACCCTTCCTTTTCCCCTTCTCCCCCCCTTCCCCGCCACATCCTCCCCCAGTTTGCGACGGAGAACTTCAAGCTGGAGCGCAAGCTGGGCAAGACGAGCCCTGTCTGAGCACAAAAGCATGCTGGAAAGCCCGCTCTCTCAACCCCTCCCCACTTTCCCTGCCACATCCTCCCCCAGTTTGCAACGGAGAACTTCAAGCCGGAGCGCAAGCTGGGAGAGGGCGGGTTTGGCACGGTATTTTCGGGCACGCTGCACCACACGCCCGTGGCGGTCAAGGTGCTCAAGAACGCGGATGCCATGCAGGCCGCCAACGAGTTCCAGCAGGAGGTGCGTGCGTCTGTGTGGCTGGATGAGTTGCAGCAGGAGGTGAGGTGAGTCCCTGTTGTGCCCATGAGCACACAGAGAGGAGATGAACGCTGCACCACACGCCCGTAGCTGTGAAGGTGCTCAAGAACGCGGATGCCATGCAGGCCGCCAACGAGTTCCAGCAGGAGGTGAGTGGGTCCCTGGCAAGCATACAGTGTCTCATTTACTGACGCTAACTGCCCGCCTCCTATCTCCGCCTCCTCATCGTCCCACACCTCTCTACCCTTGGTCCACCCGTTTCTCCGCACGCACTCCTCTTCCCATCCCCCCCAACACCAGGTGGAGGTGCTGAGTCAGATTCAGCACCCGCACGTGGTGATGCTGCTGGGCTGCTGCCCCAGCAAGTACTGCCTCGTCTACGAGTTCATGGCCAACGGCTCTCTAGAGGACCGCCTCCTCTGCGCCAACGGCCCGCCCCTTCTCCTCCCCCTTTACTGGTTTTCCTTGCCCCCTCTCCTTCTCTATCCGCCCTCCCCTTTCTCTTCCGCCCCTCCCCCCCCCCTTCCCCTCTCCTCCCCCTCTTCTCCCCACCCCCCCACACACAGGTGGAGGTGCTGAGTCAGATTCAGCATCCGCACGTGGTGATGCTGCTGGGCTGCTGCCCCAGCAAGTACTGCCTCGTCTACGAGTTCATGGCCAATGGCTCTCTAGAGGACCGCCTCCTCTGCGCCAACGGCACCCATCGCCAACCCCACCCTCTCCCCCTTAACTGGTTTATCCTTGCCCCTTCTCCTTCTCTATCCCCCCTCCCCCTTCTCTTTCCCCCCTCCCTCCTCTCTCTTCCCCACGACCCCCAGGTTGAAGTGCTGAGTCAGATTCAGCATCCTCATGTCGTCATGCTCCTAGGCTGCTGCCCCAGCAAGTACTGCCTCGTCTACGAGTTCATGGCCAACGGCTCTCTCGAGGACCGCCTGCTCTGCGCCAACGGTTCACCCCCGCTCCCCTGGTACATCCGCATGCGCGTCGCAGCCGAAATCGCCTCGGCTCTCCTCATCCTCCACACGCGCCCCGTGCCCATCGTCCACCGGGACTTAAAGCCCGGAAACATCCTCTTAGATAAGAACTTTGTGGCGAAGCTAGGGGACGTCGGGCTTGCGAAGCTCATGCCGGGGTTATCCATGGATCAGACTTACATGCGGGAATCGGTTCCGGTGGGTACCTTTGCGTATGTCGACCCGGAGTTTCAGCGAACGGGCGAATTCGGGCCGAAATCCGATGTCTACGCGCTGGGGATCGTGCTGCTGGATTTACTGACCGGCCGGAAACCCAACGTGTATGAGGGGTTGGAAGAGGCGGTAGACGACGGGGACGAGAACGAATTGAAGCAATTTTTGGATGAGAGAGCAGGCGACTGGCCGTTAGATATGGTGATGGAGGTGGCGCGGATTGCGGTTAAGTGTTCGGAGATGAGGAGGAAGAAGCGCCCGGACCTTGAGAAGCAGGTCATGCCGGTGCTGGACCGCGCCAGGGCGCGCGCTGCCCAGGCTGAGGAGGAGGCTCGGAAGGCCCCGAGCCGCCGCCCGATGGGGGAGGCTCCGAGCGTGCTGTTCTGCCCCATCACTCAGGTGCGCGGGGATTGGTTGGTGGGGTGGGTGGGTATGGGATAAGTTCTTGTTGTGCCTGCTTTATCAGTTTTATGGGAGACACAGTTCAAAACAGCGAGAGTGTATGAGGTGTGGGAAGGTGTGGGGATCGTGAGTTCTCTCATTGTGTTTCCCTTCTTTCTTCTTTCTCACGCAATGCCAATCAAATCCCAATGATAATGTATTTTACGCTGTAACGTTCATATCTTGCTCCCCATGCGACCACTGCCCACCACAGGAGATGATGGTGAACCCGGTGTTGGCAGCAGACGGGCACACGTACGAGCAGGAGGCAATCAAATCGTGGCTGGAGACGAGCGACATGTCGCCAATGACCAATCAGAAGCTGCCAAGCAAGGATCTCGTTGCCAACCATGCCGTGCGCTCCATGATCCTAGACTGGCGCCAGCGCAACGGGTAAGGAGCGTGCTGCAGGTGGAATAGAGGAGGAAAGGGGGAAAAGGGGGTGGAGGGGTAGGGAATGCAGTGCACTCCATGATCCAAGACGGGCGCCAGCGCAACGGCAAGGACCGTGCTAGAGGTGCACTAGAGGTGGAGGGAAAGTAGGCTGGGGAGGGAAAGAGGAGTAGCTAAGGGTCCACGACATGCACTCAAGGTGGGGGGGGAAGGGAGGAGAGGTGGGGTGGGGAAGGGGGAGAAGGGGTGTGAAGTGGTGACGCCGTATGCACCATGATCCAAGACTGGAAGCAGAGTCCCGAAGCAGTGTAACGCTGCGAGTGTTGAAAGCAGCAGAAGGGGCCAAACACCAGTGAAGCAGTTCGTGCAGCCTCGGTGGGTTTGTATTTCCGGAAAATTGGGGCGCTGGATTGTGGAAGCAGTGTTGGCTGGGGGATGCAGGGATGGTTTGCTAGCAGAGATAAGGAACTGTAATGTGATCTGAGTTGAAGCTCATTTCGGCCTCAACGGCTGTTCATGATTCAGAGTGGAAGTGGCGCAAACCTCTTAGGGAGGTGGTGGGAGGGGAGGGGAGGAGCAGCTAGGAGTGCAATCGTAGATAGTTTTAGGCATCTGTGTTTGAGTGGTGACTGGGTTGCATATAGTGAAAGGTGCACATATTGGGATACCCTAAACCATTTTCAGCTCAAAGCTTAGCTGGCTTCAGATTTTCATGAGTAGCAGCAGCTGCTGCAGATGTCTGCCACCCTGAATAATTATGTATGCCGTGCGAGTGGATATACACGTAGGTTGTAGAGCTGTGAATGTTGTCTGGACTGTAGGCAATGTATCGCTGGCACAAACAACATCAGTTGCGCTTGGATCTTTCTTGTAACCTACCTACTAATCAATAATTTTTAAGGGACGTAATGGTCAAAGTCGATTTTGTACATAATTTGACAATTTTACCAGCTTTACCACATCGAGTATGCATCAACACCCAGGGTGTACCTGAAAGCGAGGCTGTCAAAGCCACAAATCCTCGAGATTGGTTTGCCACGTGGATTCATCCACAACTCTGGCTGCAATTTCGCCCACATTCATTCCACGCGAAATTCACCAGATGAGCTGGTTTCCCTTCTCTCACCCTTCGCAAAACCGGCTTCCATCCATCACCCGCTTCCACTTCCCAGTTCCCACCAGTTGTGGGGCTGTCCCGTGCGATCTTTCAAATAGCACAGCTAGGTCTGACGTCAAGTTACCCACGTCATCTCTTCAGCAACCACTGCCGTTTCGTGAGTTCGTCCATTTTTCGCAGAGCTTCAGATCTACCATCGCTAACGGCTGAACAGCACTGGCGAAGGAAACCAATCTCGAGGCTGCCCGTTCACGAGATAATCTCTAGGGTTTCCTGCCCAGCCAGATTTGAGGAGCAAAGCAGGAACGAGCAGGACCCATCTGCCCATCCATTCTACTGACCAGGACGGAATCACTGGGATCTCCTTTCCATCCCTCTCAAGCAAGATACCAGCAAACTATTTCTTCATTTTAGACCAAGTCACATATTTTAGGCTTGATTGCCCTGCCAGGGCTGCTGCTGTTCCAGCCAGCACTGACCCTTGCTTGGATCAAATCAACAGCAGCAGCGGCAGAGTCGAAGCTACATTCTAGCCTCTCCTAGAAATGGCTGCGTTTACGCGTCCATTGGCCAACCTTTCCCTCGCGGGAAATGCGGTGGCTAAGCAGGGGAGCCATGGACCGTTGCAATCAGAGCTGCTCGGATCCCCCGTCCTTTCCTCGTCCAGCCCAGCCGCTCCCATTCAGGCTGGCTGCGAAGGAACGGTTAAAATCTCGTGCAGGGTACAGACTGGTCCCGTGACAGCAAGGGCTAGCTTAACCAGCAAGAGCAGCAGAGCGACGTCGTCCGCGCGTCGCTCTGTTGTCGCGCACTCTCGCAAGAGAATGTTCGACGATCCGTTCGATTACGGCGAGGATCCAGACATGGAGTACGGCGATCTGTTGTCCTCAGGCAAGCAAGACGCCGTCGACCCTCGTCCTCCGACCGACACCTCCTCCAGCGACGGCTGGCTCAAGTTCCCGCCTGGCCACAACCCGGAGATCGCGTCGCTCGGATTGTACATTCGCGACGATGTGCGAAGCTGTGCGATCCTTGTCGCCGGCGGCGTGTACGAGAATCTTCTGTTTTTCCCGGTGATTTCGCTGCTGAAGGAGAAGTACCCTGGCGTGAAGATCGACGTGGCGGCTCCGCCACGTGGCAAGCAGACGTACGAGATCAACAAGAACGTACGGCGCGCGTGGGTGTACGACCCTGAAGATCCGTTTGTGACTCCCGCCGAATACACCGAGTTCCTCGGCAAGCTCAAGGTGAGAGCATCTTTTCGGATATTCTTATTAATGCTGATTGAAACGAAACCAGATGGCGATACGCATCAGTAGTGGTTCGTGTTCTGCCGCTTGCTGCATTGCGTGTTTACTGCGAGTTCAATCAGGAGTTTCCATTCTCGGCGCTAGCCTCGCGCGGTGTTTGATTCTCGGAGCATGCCTTCACTTGGCTGCAATGGCCTTGCTGGGAGTTCTCGTTTCTCGACCCCATTGTTCCGTTCCCGTTCCCTTCCACATCCCCATCCTCTCCGGCCTCCACCCTCCGACCTCTCTCCATATACCCTTCCCGTATATTGCGTCGCAGCGAGGCTGAACGATGCAGCGCTGACCATCCTGACGCGGCTGCATTGCCGCTCCCTGCCCCCTTCTCGTCCTCTCCTTTTCTTCTCCACCCAAACCCGCTTGGTCTGCGCTCTTAGAGCGCGAGGCGTATGGCTTGGTGCTGTCCAGTGTCCACGCCACTGGTCGGCTAGGCCACGCGTGTTCCTCTCCTCTCCGACGCTCGTCTTCGCGTCCCTCTCACATCTTCCGTCCCCCCCATTTTCCCTCTCGCGCATTCCCCATTTCCTTTTGTTTTCTTCCCCAGTCAGAACGAGGCGTACGACTTGGTGCTGCCGACAAGACTGCCGGGCTGGGCCACGCCGTCTCCCCCTTCCTCTTACATCTCCCGCCCCTGCCCCTACATTTCCCTGGCTGCTTCCCCTCTCCCTTTCCCCTCTCCCCCTCTCCAGAACGAGGCGTACGACCTGGTGCTCTCAACCAGACTGGCGGGGCTGGGCCACGCCATGTTCCTGTTCCTCTCCGACGCGCGCCAGCGCGTGTCGTACGTGAACCCCAACGCCAGCGGCGCGGGCGCGGGCGTGTTCCTCTCGACTGCCGTGCGCACGGAGAAGGAGAACCTCGCCGAGGACGGCAGCCACATGTGAGTAGACTGGTGACATGTTAGTGCGACGGCATGGGCTAGTGAGTGCGCTGGTGTGGCAAACAGTACGACAGGGGCATGTGTGCGGTGGCATCTGTTGAGGTAGCATCTGCGCGCACGGAGAAGGAGAACCTCGCCGAGGACGGCTGCCACATGTGAGTGGGCTGGTGACATGTGGTTGGGTTGCTTTGCCTTGCAAAGAGGAAAGTGAGCGGATTGACGCGCCTTTCAATGCTGCATGTGAGTGGATTGCCGCGCCTAGGGATGCGCCATGGACACTTTGTTGCAATGGTTTGATGGACTGGATTGGTGGGTTGTTACTCGGGCGACGGCAGCGGGCGACTGTAGCGGAGACATATTCGGGTCTGTACTGTGCGACGTTCGCACGTATGTAACTGCCGTGCAAACTCGGCGGAGAGGGCCCTTGAGGCCCTTGAGGCGCCTTGGGATGAAAGGGCTGCAGCATGTCATGGGGGAGCTTGCACGCGGGTGATGGAAGACCGCGGGAAGAGGGAAAGGAGAGGCGGAGACGCATACGCGCAAGGGCGCGGATGCGCGAAGGCGTGGATGCCCAAGGGCGCAGTTGCGCGGGCGAGAGGGGCTGAGGAAATACATTTCATGGGCGAGGCACAAAAAGGGACTGTCAGAATGGAATCGTAACGTCCATTCAGACGGCGTCGAGTGCGAGTGGCGCTGCGGGAAAGTCAGGGCGATCGGCGCTCGCAATCCGTGCAAGAGACAGCTACACACTCGACAGGGGGGGATGGGAATGGGCATGAGGATGAGGATTGGAATGGGGATGGGGAGGGGGCCGAGACACATGCGAAGAGGGTGAACTGGAAGACATGATCTGCTGCTGATGGGGATCCAGTTGTGAGGTGCGGTGATTTGACACCAGTGCGGTATCGAACGCGAGTGGCTCTGCCCGTCCGTGTTGCAAGCATCGCACGGTGCTAAATCTGATAATTCACGAGAATATTACGCACTGTCTTGCAATGCACGCTCAACAGTCCGGCGTCACAACTCGCCCTCCACCCAGCCCCTCACCCCCACAATTACAAGCACCTGGCACTGGTTCCTCCTGAAGCCCGTACCGTCGCTTCCAGCCTCCACCTACCAGCCCCCTCCGCAGGTGCAAGGATCTGGTGGAGCTCCTCCTGGAGCAGGTGCACGGGGCGCCAGCATTCTCCCTGCCAGGCGCTCTTTCCAAAAGTCCGCTCACCCGCCCCTCCCCCGCCTCACCTCCCTCCAGCCCTTACCGACCCCACCTTCTCAGGTACAAGAATCTGGTGGAGTTCCTCTTGGAGCCCGTGCGCGGGGGCCCGGCGCTGCACCTGCCAGCACTGCAGGTGAACCTGCCGTGCAAGGTGCACGCGGTGAACCCATCCCAACCCCTCCCCCTCCCCCTCCCCACTCCCCCTCCCCCCACCGCCCCCAGGTACAAGGATCTGGTGGAGTTCCTCCTGGAGCCGGTGCGGGGAGGCCCGGTGCTGCACCTGCCGGCCCTGCAGGTGAACCTGCCGCGCAAGGTGCGCGAAGTGACGCGCGAGAAGACTGCCGCGGCGGGGGTGGTGGCGGGCGCGTACACGCTGGTGCATGGGGTCGAGTCCTCGTCTGCCGCCTCCATGCGCTCACGCGGGGACACTGACAGCGCTCTTTCCCTCACTATGCTCACTGAAATCGCCAAGAGCGTGAGGTGC